TGTGAATGATTTTTACTCATTTCTATTGCCCAATATTTTTCTCACTGATCTATGTTCAGTATTTTTTTTGAATGGATATTGCATCCTGTCTCTTCTTCAATATCTCCCTCAATTGTCTGTTCTCATTATTACAAATCAAAATTGCTGGTTATTTTTTCAAATACTTTTCGGAATCACTTTTATTATTCAGTCTATATTTATTTTTCAATTTTGCTAAACTTTCTCCACTCCTGGTTTAATTAGCTGCCGTTTTAAAAAAGAACTGAACAAAATATACAAATATATAAAAATAAACCAAAGGCGGACTAATGAGTTTCAAAGTTATTTTCTACCGGACTCTATTATATTAAACTTGCGCAAACAGGCATTATAAAATAGTTATTCGAGCATATGCTACATCTTCAATATTCGTATGTCTATCAGGAAGCGTGTCAATGAAAAAGTGTGAGTATAAAGGAAACATTTTAATTAGATTTAACCTGCTGTATACTTAAACGTATACATGAATAATATACACGATTTAAATATGTGAGTTTTAACATAGATATAACGGTATATACCAGTGCTTCTCAACCTTCTTCAGTCCATAGACCATTTTTTTCTTTAAAAAAATCCAACTGGACCACTCCTATTTTTTCGTTTAGGCTGTTCAATTTTCACGCTAAAAAACTCAATGAAAAGATAAAGTAGTTTATTTACACTTTAAAATTTATTTTAGTAAAAAGATAAACACAGGATATCAAAATCAATTTTGATGATGTTATTCAGTCTTAGTCCGTTCAGCTAGTGACTACCTTGATCTTGATGTTTCTGACACAAAATATCATAATCAATTTTCATGGTGTTATGGTCCGGTTCCTTGTACCACGGTGATAGTCCAAGGTAGAACCAATAAAGAAGAACTCGAACACGGATATGGAATAACACACATATATTACAATTAGGAATATATACAGAGAAGTAGAAAGTGTTATTATGAACAATCAGGTTTAGTAGTAATTGTCTGAACGTAACTCTGTTTCGGAGTGCCTCTGACTCGACTGACTGACTCGCTCGCTCTGACTGACTGACGGACTCCTGACGGACCTCACTCCACACTTCAGACTGGACTCCAGACTTCAGAGGGAACAGTATTTAGTCACCCCGCCCCCACGAAGACATCATGTGGCACAAGGCCGGTTTAACGTGGGATCTCCGAACCCGTGGGCTCGGCCAAAAATGTGCCCTTTGAACCCGTATTAAACGGGTTCAGGGTCGGGTTACCTCCCCGAAAGAGACTCCGCCCGAAGGCGTAGCCTCGTTCGGGTTCCTCCCCGCCCGAAGGCAGAGAGTTCAGCCGGTCAGCCGGTCGCCCGACTTCGAACTGAACTCCCTGCTTCCTCTTGAGGCGTAGTATTTATTACGTATGGAATAGTCCATTATGTTATTATAGGTAAGGTCCCATAACACATGGTGTCATTCAATCTTAGTCTGAGAGTTCCTCTGATGCTGAGATCTAATTTATTGAAAACATCCACAACAGCCGAAAATCCAGATTCCACCATTCATGCGGTAGGGAAAGAAATGATGCTTACTTGTACATGTTGAAAAATATTTGGGTGTGAGTCCTTTATCGATATATAGGCAAAGACACCTTCTTTGTCTCTCTTCTTCTCAGTTTCGCATTCTCTTTCATGTCCAAGTCTATTTTCATCTCATGGCTCATAATTTATCTGTGGACCACTAGAAATGCTATGTGGACCACCGGTGGTCCACCTGGACCACGTTGGGAATTACTGGCATAGATATAGCTTTGATTATACGCATGTACACACCTACGTGTACAGACATGCATTAATATAATAATAAGCAGCTGTTTGAGGGTAATTGATAATTAGTTAGCCTTGATTAGCCAACCACACATTTTGGGATATGTAGATACATTTATTTAATCTTTGTCTTTGGAGAGAGCACAAAATTGAAAGAAAGATGCCTGGTCCTGGGGATTCCAATCTTATGGCAACAGCATCCTCATTGAACCCTCGAGAGGACGTCGGTGGAATATCGACGACAGCGCGATGATGGCTGCAGGGCAATTTTGGGACTTAACCCAGGTAAACGTGCTTGGACTCTGCACTTTGAACCGACCTTGTGTTACAACCCGGCACCGTGTAGCGTGAGGCGTAAATATTAGGTAGTTAGCCGTGAGTAGTGTCTGGTGGCTACATTTTTACCTCTATATCGTGTCTTTTTCTTCGAGGAGAGTACAAAGATAAATGAGGGATACCTAGCCCCGGGTATTCCATCCCTATGCCAGCACTGTCCTCATTAGACCCTCGAGAGGACGTCGGTAGAATATCGACGGCAACGAGATGATGGCTGCAGGACAATTTCTGGACTTAGCCCACGTGAACGTGTTTGGGCTCCCCAAAACCGGCCGTTTGATCCCGACACCATGGTGGTGGAGTGCGGTAAGTAGACCAATTAGCTAGTCCAGTGCCCTGGGTTAAACTTCATTGCGTGTTCTCACTACTGTTCGCACATACAACGCTCATGAGGAAATGCGCAATCTTCTCATTTTATGTGGGATGTTCCTTCAAAACGTGAACGATCATAGTTCTCCACTGCTGTTTCCCTCTGCCATTCTTGCCTTCAATATATTCTGTGGGTGTCAAATTCTCCAAAACCTCCTTCTTCATTATGCCGCCCATAAATTTCAACTGTCTCTTTCTGATTCCAAGTTTAAATGTCTTTTATTGTTTCAGTTTTCTTAAAAAAATCCTCGTTTTCCTTCAGGAGATGAGCGATCGTGGCTCTCCACAACTTCATATCATTTTAGCAATGTTTGTCCCACACACACACACACACACACACACACACACACACACACACACATATATATATATATATATATATATATATATATTGGAGGCACAGTGGGGTAATGGATACCAGCTTGGATTGTGGAATCGCAGAGTTCAAATCCAGGTTGAACCCATTACATTCACTTACGTGCTAAATACCCTTTGGAAAGGTGTGAATCCTCTTCTTCTCCCTCCAGCTATGGGTTAAATAGCAGGACAGACTGGGTTCTATAGACTCGGATGGCAACTGGTCTAGGAGAAGGACAACTCTGAATTCAAAACCTGGGGGGGGTTGTTTGGGGACCTTCAGCACGTAGTGCACCAGGTCTCTGTATTCGGCCCTTCAAAAAGTGTGGATGGTCCTGCACGAAGCCTTCACCACTATAATCGAATCTCATGTGCCGGTGTCAGGCTGTCAGTTTCCTGGAAACTGATCTGCTTGACCCTCATACGTCGAACCCGACGGGAGAATCGATATATATATATATATATATATATGAATATATATATAGGAATATATATATGAATGTATATATATATATATATATATATATATATGTCATTCATATATATATATTCCTATATATATATATATATTCATATATATTCATATCTATCTATCTATCTATCTATCTATCTATATATATATATATATATATATATTCATATATATATTCATAGTCACTAGACATTATACATTTGCACAAGCTTGTTAGGTAGGTTACTCTCTGTTCCACTCTACCTTTAATATGTCCTATGAGTACCAAATTCTCCAAGTCTTCTTTCCTTATTATCTATCACAGAAATGTCAATACATTTTATCTAATATGTTGTCATTCTTTACGTTAGTTTACATTTCTGAGAAGAAATGAATTATCGAGAAAAATCGTCGAAGGTGTGTATTTATAAGCAATAATTTGAACTTTTCTAATCGGAGAGTTCGCTGTAACTGAATGGTTAAACAGAACGTCAGTATATAAGATTTTCTTTTAAAAGATTTTTTTAATTGTAGTATTTTATATAACAATTTGCTGCTACAAACATTTAAAATCTTTGTTGCAATACTCGTACTTGACTTTATTAAATCTTTATTTATTATTATTTGTTGGTACGATCACATAATTTACATAGTGAGTACCGACCATATAAATATGGGTTGGTACCGGGAAGACGAGGGAAGAAAAGAAGAGATCCAATCGAGAGACTCTGCCCGACTGCGATTAAGTCAACCAATTCTACAGGAACAGTCTTCCCAAGAATATACCAAAACTAACTGTAAATATTGCGTACCTTTTCCTTGTTTCAATACATTTTGTTTACGTACATTTTGTGTTGTATTATTATTATTCCATGCTTATCCAAGCTTCAACAATTATATAAATTATAAATTATATAAAAGGGTTTCCAGAGTGTTGTGGCGTCCTCCATTTAAAGAGTCTATGTTAGACTCTTCCGCTTACTATAAGATTAGTAGGACAGAAAGCTTCGGGCAACTGATTGAGCGCTAGTTCATTCCGCCATCTTGTTGTGATCAAGTAAAGGAAGCAATAACAAAAACCTGGTTTGCAGATATATCGTGTATTAAACAGTAAGTATACCAGAAGAGTATTACACGACTAGTGAGAGTGTATCGAATGAACTAGAGCTCAATCTATTCACGGTTCCCCGAAGCCTTTTGTCCTACTAATCTTATAGTAGGCGGAAGAGTCTAAACATGGACTCTTTAGATGGAGGACACAACAACGTAGAGTTTTAACTTAACGACAATAGTAACTACAATAAAGAACAGCACGCAATCGATATGAATAGGCTACAAAAAGTCATGAGCTGTGAAGGTAGAGGAATATATACGGACTTAGATATGCCTAGACGTTTGATAGCGAAAAAAACCCTCTAAAATCAGTTTGATGAGAAAGAGAGTGATATGTCGAATTAGACACGAGTCCATCGATATGGTTTTGCTTATTCAGATTAATCTCACGTGTTGTCGTGAGATTCTTGGTTTAGACTTGCTTGCTCGTATGTGCACGTCGCGGATCCTGCAGCCCGTGTCGGCTGGTGTATGTCCCCGAGCGTGCACTGTATTATGCACGCGCACATGAAAGCACCAGCATTACCTTGTCTGAGAGAATTGCAACAGTGTTGGTAGGTCGCGATTTACTTCGTACGTTCCAGTCTAGCGGGGTTCTGCAGGCGAATTTGATTAGTGACAATATTGATTTTGCTAGCAAAAGTGATGGCTATATGCCGTCGCTTCGCGCTTGTGTGCGAAGAGAGGAGAGAAGTGCGCCGTATTTGTCTGCGTGTGTGCGCAACGGTGAGCTTATTTGCGCGTATGCGCTGCTGTGAAATAGATAGATAGATAGATAGATAGATAGATAGATAGATAGATAGTGAAAACCTGAGATAGGTAGATAGATAGAAAGAAACAGAGTGAGATGGATAGATATGAACAGAAAGCGTCACAGATAGATAGATAGATAGATAGATAGATAGATAGATAGATAGATAGATAGATAAAAAACTGAGATAGGTAGATAGATAGAAAGAAACAGACTGAGATGGATAGATATGAGCAGACCGCGTCACAGATAGATAGATAGATAGATAGTATAAATATTATCGAAAACTTAGATATAGTGAAGCATACATCAGTCTGTTTCCTAAGTTTGTTACTATGCTTACGACTATCTCAGTCTGTTAATATCTCCCTCACTTTGTCTCTCTTTCCCTCACTTTGTCTCTCTCTCCCTAAAAAAAAAAAAAATTTTTAACGGTAAACAATTTTTTTTTTTTTTTTTAAAATTCAGACGACATCCATTCAACCGACGTCAGGTTTCAGTGTAAAATACATCCTCACCCCTTACCAAAATGTAGCTAATAACTGATACAATGATACTGTCATAAGGAAAATCTAGACACCCCGTGTTCAATTTGAGTAGAATATTCTGTAACCATGGAAACGTGATTTTAGCTGTGTATTTAAAACCCGGTAAATTTTAAAAGTTACTCCAAAATTCGCTTGAAGATGAAATGGAACTAATGCTTTTAATTTATTTGCAAAAAATAAAATTAGGGTTTTTAGCTTCTATTTTTTGAAACATGGTTGAACTGTGTAGCGAAAATAACCATATTTTAAATCAATTAATTTATAATATTAATGCTCTGTAAATTTACATTGAGCACTATTTTGTAAAATAAAATATCTATAAGAACACCGGATTTTATATCTTACTGTTCTTTCTTTTATTTATATATATATATATATATATATATATATATATATATATATATATATATATATATATATTTCTTTTACTTTCTTACCAATGTCTGTTATCACCATGTTATACACATATCTAAAATTCGTATGTGTGTGTAAAAGAGAGATAATGAAGGAGAGAGAGAAAGAAAGAGAGAGAGAGAGAGAGAGAGGTAGTGAGTGTGTTAGATAGAGTGAGAGAGTGTGTCCGTATGTGTGATTAAGTGACAGTGAATATATATACGTATTTCAGTCTGTACCAGTCTTTGAATCTATCTATCTCAGATGTGTGTGTGTGTGTGTGTGTGTGTGTGTGTGTGTGCGTGTGAGAGAGAGAGAGAGAGGGAGAGAGAGAGAGAAAGAAAGAATGCATGTGGGAGCTAAAAATCAAATCTATCTATCTATCTATCTATCTATCTATCTCAGATGCGTGTGTGACAGAGAATGAGAGAGAGAGAGAGAGAGAGAGAGAGAGAGAGAGAGAGAAAGAAAGACACAGTCTGTGAAGCGAGTAGGGTCCATAATGCTTAACTCCTGAGGATTTACGACAAAATATACCGAGACATAATAGAAAACAACTGGGAAGAACAGCAATATAATTAATTTCGATTAAATCCAAATCATTCCATCCTCCGAAGACTATTTTAGCTATATATATATATATATATGTGTGTGTGTGTGTGTGTGCTGCATGTGCGTGTGTGTGTACGCGCGTGTGTGAGGGTTAATGACATTTCTTCCTAGAGATTTATCTATTTATTTATTTCGCATGAAGCTTGTAAAAATAAACAGTGCTTCCACCCCACTCGGTCATTGAGGAAAGGCGTGAGTAGATAAAATTCAAAGAATCTGCAATGTTACTGGTCCTGACCTGGCTTCTCGGGTTCAGTCACTTTCCTACGCAGCTTCCCTGCACGTTTGTTTTTTTTTTAAATAAATACTTTCATGGTAATTGTTCTAATTAACTTTCCTCTATGGTACCTAGATTTGATGAATTTAATCGCAGAAATAGATTGGCGCCGCAGATATAACCGTAAGTTCTAGGCGGACAGTTTCTTCTGTCGCACTTCTCACCTGTGGAGCTCTCTTCCGGTTTACTGCTTTCCAGTCAACATTGAGCTTCAAAAATTTGAATGCAATGTTAATCCTTATCTACTGTCTTCTTGATTCTTGTTCTTTTATTGTTCTCTCTCTATTTTGCGGATTAGTGGCTTTATTGCCTTACTTGAAGTGAAATGATTAAAAAAAAGGTAAAAAAAAATGCTGGTAAAATATCTGTCTGACTATATTTTCTGAGAAAGTCTGTCCTTTTATTACTCTATAGCTCATGTACCTTCTCCCATACTCTTTTCAGATGGAATCGTTATAAGTCCGACAATTATTTTAATATATTTATTGTTTACACGTTATTTTTTTTTTATAGATACCAATATTTAAGTAAATTCTCCGTTTATAATAAACAATATTAACAACATTTACCGGCCTGAATGTCCGAAAAATTTCATAGAAAATATTCGTCCTTCGACAGGAATCGAACCTGTATCCTGCACGGAACTGCAGTCTGTCTCGGAAATCGTCAATCTGTCAACTGACCCCAAATATTAACCATTGGAAGCTTTGGCAAATAGCCGCTGACATCATCGACAAAGTGTAATATCAAAAACTGGTTATATATATATGCGTGCATGCAGATACCAACATAGCTGGATGTGTGCATGTGATGTTGATAGAAATTATTTCTGCAGCACTGCATTAAATTTTATCTCGTTAGTAAAAATTGGCTTGTGATTAAATAAGCAACTTCGATTTCATTTTTCTTGTCTTTCTTTCCCAGATAACACGGAACATATGGCGACTTTAGTATTAACGACATTTATCGGCCTAAATATCCGAGAAATTTTCATAGAAAATATGCATCCTCCGAAAGAAATCGAACCTGTATCTTGGCGTGCTTTACCGATTTAGACACAAAGGAGCGTTTCGGTTAGCAAGGTCGATTTTACTGTTTTTAAACTACAGTTCTCCACGATTTTCTCTCGTACATTCATATCTGCTCGATGCGTATCCAAATGTAAATGTTAATACGTTCTTTTTATAGAAACAAATATTTAATAATATAAAAACAGTAAAATTGACCTTGCTAACCGTAACGCTCCTCTGTGGCTAAATCGGTAAAAGCACGTCAGGCTATATGACGGTTCCATATAGAATACAGGTTCGATTCCTGTCGGAGGACGCATATTATCTATGAAATTTTCTCGGATATTTAAGCCGATGAATGTCGTTAATACTGTTTATTATAAACAGAGCATTTACTTAAATATTTGTATCTATAAAAAGAACGTATAAACATAAAATAGTGTTTTAGAATAATTGTCGGACTTTGTCCATTTCATAATGTGTGACATCATTTGTTTAAATTTGGATATGCATCGAGCAGATATGAATGTACGAGAGAAAATCATGGAGAATTGTAGTTTAAAAACAGTAAAATCGACCTTGCTAATCGAAACGCTCCTCTGTGGCTAAATCGGTAAAGCACGCCAGGCTATATCACATACCAATATGTATAGAAGGTATTGTTTTGTAGATAAACTGATTAACCTTCACTAGTTCTATTTATTGAAACATGGACTCGTCCATTCGCTATGAGTAGAACTACTGCTCACAGAACAGTGACAAAAAGGGGGTCGCAAAGGTGAAGCACTTTTCAGTCGTAGTCTTGTTGCACTGAACTACTGTAACTATGGAATTAAACCCTTCTTTACTCAACCTTTTGTGTCCAGTGTTTTCCTTAAGCAGCAACTATGAGAGTTATACGAACATTATAACAAGTACAAAATTTATTTTTTGCATTTTTTGTGACGTCCGGTGGCCATTAATGATAAAATATAACTCAGTAATTCAATGTTAAGATAAAACAGTATTTAATTCCAACCGTAAATAAATACTTAACACGAACAAAGAAGTAAAAGTCAACCCAAGATAGTACCTGTCTATATTTCTGAGATGAGGTATTATGCACACTATTTACATTATTTGGACTGTTGTCCTCATCTTTGTCGCCATATTATACACAACGTTTCAGCCGTTGTACGTTCTGGCCTTTTTCAGGGGGTTAGAATGTCGAACTGAATCCTTTATTTCGCTCGCTGGGGTAGACTGTTCTAGTTCCACGTGCCATGTCTAATGGATGCCAGTTATCAGTTATCTCCTGTTAATCCGAGACGCTCTTCTAACAAGAAATTCAATGAAATGGTTAATTATCGTTGGTTGACACTATTTACATTATTCGGACTAATGTCCTCATCTTTGTTGCCATATTTATCACAACGTTTCAGCCGCTGTACACTCCGGCCTTCTTCAGGTGGTTGGAATGTCGAACTGAACCCTTTATTTCGCTCACCGGGGTAGACTGTTCTTGTTCCACGTGCCATGTTTGATGGATGTCAGTTATTAGTTATCTCCTGCTAATTTTCCCTCTGAAAGTTCTACACTGCCTTAACCAGGTATTGAACTCACACTCTCAAGGACACATGGCACAGTGGATAAAGGCATTAGTTAGATCCAGTGACAGGACCCAAAGAGTGGGAGTTCAATACCTGGTTAAGGCAGTGAAGAACTTGGAGAGGGGGATTAACAGGAGATAACTGATAACTGACAACCATTAGACATGAACTAGAACAGTCTACCCCAGTGAGCGAAATTAAGAGATCAGTTCGAAATTCCAACCACCTGAAGAAGGCCGGATCGTACAATGGCCGAAACGTTGTGATAAAGAGGACAAGATGAGAACAACAGTCCGAATAATGTAAATAGGTCAACCAACGATAATTAACCATTTCATTGAATTTTGCGTTAGAAGCGTCTCGGGTTAACAGCCGTTAAAACTAAAATCAAACCCAAATCAACGACGCCCAAAATTCGTTGACTGATAGTTCTCCTTAATAGTCACTAAATGATCACCCAGTAATCAACAGTAGCCTGACACCGCTATTTTTACACCTGGCGGAAAATATATTAAAACCTAAATAAAATATATGTTAAAACTTCAAATCAAAACCCAAATCAACGACGCCCAATAATCTGCATTAATTTTGGATTGAATTTTTGTTAGTCACTAAATAATCACCCAGTAATCACTACGTCAATAGCCTGACACCGCTATTTTTTTAACCTGGCGGAAAAAAATATATTAAAACCTAAATTAAAATATGTTAAAAGCTAAATTAAAACCAAATCAACGACCCAATAATTCGCATTAAATGGATAGTTCTTCGCAGTCAGTTAATTTTTCGACTGGAAAATAGTTCAAAACCTAAATTAAAATATGTTAAACCCAAATTAAAAACCAAATCAACGACGCAATAATGATTAATTGACTGGATAGTTCTCTTAATAGTCACTAAATAATCACCCAGTAATCACTCAGTCAATAGCCTGACACCGCTATTTTTACACCTGGCGGAAAATATATTAAAACCTAAATTAAAAAAATTATCAACGACACCCAATAATTCGCAAAACCTAAAATTAAAACCAAATCAACGACCTAAATTAAAAACCAAATCAACGACACCCAATAATTCGCATTAATTCGACTGGATAGTTCTCCTTAATAGTCACTAAATAATCACCCAGTAATCACTACAGTCAATAGCCTGACACCGCTATTTTTACACCTGGCGGAAAATATATTAAAACCTAAATTAAAATATGTTAAAACCTAAATTAAAAACCAAATCAACGACACCCAATAATTCGCATTAATTCGACTGGATAGTTCTCCTTAATAGTCACTAAATAATCACCCAGTAATCACTACAGTCAGTAGCCTGACACCGCTATTTTTACACCTAAAAAACGGAAAACATATATTCATAAATCCAGAGTGTCACGCTTGAACCTCGGTGTCAGTACTTACTCATTTTCTTTCTATATGACATTTTTTTTTAATGTAAATCCGCAGTCCGGATTATGAATGCATGTCCTAACGTCTGGAATTTATTCTCCATTTTCTGCTAATGTAACGTACGGAATTGTAATAGAGATGCTGGCAGCCTTAAATGATTTCGGCACTGAAAAGATTAGAGGCATGAAATATATAACAGTGGGGATATACTGGAGAACTAGGTATATATATTTTAAAAAGCACTGCCTAGGAAGCCAAGTGTAAACGAATGTGGACTCCATCGGACAACCAACCTAACAAAACATGTCATTGAGTTCTGATGAATAGAACACGCAGTTGAATCCGATCGGAAAAAAGGACAAGAACAGTGCGGGTTCGTTAAATCACTGGAACAAGGAATGCAATATTTAATTCAAAAATTTTCAGAAAGAGAAATACAAGTGCAGAAGCATGTGTACCTGTGTTTTATAGATTATGTAAAAGCGTTTGAAAAAGCACATCACAAAGAACTGCTGAAACTGTTAGGTAACCTTGACATATTTGGAATTTTAGAATAATCTGGAACTTATAGATGTCTCTTCAAATCAGATTTATGCAATCTAGACAGTGAAGCGATTCTGAGAGAATTAGAAGTCTTAACTGTATTCATTATTGGCTGACACAATCTTAAGATATGAAGATGATGCAGTGTTGATAACAGACACATTAAGGAGACCCTTACAGAAGGTAGTGAAGGAAAATGAGAAGAAAGGACTAAACATCAACTGCAAGAAGACGGAAGGTATGGTTGTCAGCAACATTGCATGCAAATTTCAAATTAGTGATGTCAAAGTCAAACAAGTACAACATTTTAAATATCTGGGAAGTGTTTGAAAAGAGGGCAGAAAGTGTGGCATTGAAATCCGAAGGAGCACTGGGATTGCTAAAGATTGCTTCTAAATGCCAAAAAAAAAGTATTAAGAAACAGAAAAATTTCGTTAGAAAGAGAATACTGAACTGTTATGTAATATCATTTCTCATATATGGCAGTGAATGCTGAACAATATTATCGTAGATAAAGAAACAACTTGAAGCAACAGAAATGTGGTTCAAGACAATGATGCCGGGAAAGCAACAGAAAGATGTCGTTAGAAACAAAGTATTGAATTGTTATGTAATATCAGTTCTCCTATATGACAGTGAATGCTGAACAATATCATCGCAGATAAAGAAGTGACTTGGAGAAACAGAAATATGGTTCTACAGAAGGATTCTGAGAATATCGTGGATCACATCTGTGAGCGACGATGAAGATTTATGGAAAATGGAACAAAAAGAACAAATAATTGAGACAGTTGACATTTCTGGGGTAAATAATAAGAAAAGAGGGCTTGGAAAATCTAATACTCACAGGACTAATGGAAGGAAGAAGCAACAATGCATAACCTGCCTCGCGAGCTTAAGTAAATGGATGGCGGAACAAGGTTTAGAAGCGATAACAAAAAGACAAAATTTATTAAGTGATACAAAGGACAGGAAATGGTGGAGATCCATGATTGCCAACGCCCATAAAGTTAGTTGTACAAACACAAATATATATTAATACATGAAAACCCGGTAACTGTAGAAAAAAATTAAAGCTTTAATTATAAACAAAGCATACGTAACTTCAAATTATTGTAATAATCATAATATATATAATAAATGTAAAAAAAGAAATAATAATTGCGTATTATATTAAATTATTTTATTATTTTCAAGCAATGTTTACGGTTTTTTAATCTTTAAATCCGTTACTTTTTTGAATTTTCGAAAAAAAAAACGCGTTGTCTCTCCTTGAATTCAGAACGCCATCTTATGTATATAAGAGTGCTCGATTTTAAATGATTTAAAGGTAGCTTTTTAATACACATAACAAAACATATTTTAATTATTTGCCAATTAACAGACTGTTTCACGCTGTGCGATTTTAAAGATGTGTGCTTGATTCTTTTGGACACTTCCGGATTCTAGAAACATTCTGCGTGACGACAGTTCAAAATATTTCTTTTTTCCTTTTTATTTGTTAATCCATTCACTTGCTTGAATTCTTTGAGTTTCAGTTATTCCTCTATACGCTAAATACAATGTAGTATTCTAATAATGATGCTTTACTTTTCATTTTTGCTTTCGATTTTTACCTGACGCGTTCACTTTGAAAAACGTGAAAATTCTAGAGCTCGGGAGTGTCCAAAATAAACAAACACCCATTTTGAAATTTGCGTAGCGAGAAAGCCATCTAGGCAGGGAGAAAGCTATATAGAAATAGAGAAAGCCATAATTTTTTTTTTAAGCATTACGCCCCGAGCAAGGCGTGAAGCCACTAGGATGCAGGGGGTTGCAGAAGATTTGGAGCGAGAGCAGATAGGAGTGATAGAAGAAAGGATGAGGAGAAGGATAGTGGGTAGATCAAGGTAACTGGAGGTGTCGATTGGCATTACATTTGAATAGTTGGAGATTATAGCTCTCAGAGAAACAGTAATTGGAAAGGGTGTTCCACAGACGAGAGGTGCGAGGTATGAAGATATTGGAGTAGAAGAGACGGCTACATTTAAAATTTTCTACAGTGTAAGGGTGGAAGCGGGATGCCAGCCTCGTAGGGCGCTTGAATTCATGGAGTCTGGGAACCAGTGAAAGCAGCTCATCGGAGCAATTACCATGAAAGTATTTGTAGAAAAAAGAGAGAGAGAGGCGACTGTGAGCGTCTGTGAGTGACGCCAGATCAGTGACATATCCGTAGACGTCAAGAACGCCAGATCAGGGTCAATTATATGGCAGCAATATCCGAATGGTTCTCTTGATCTTATCAAGAACGCCAGAGCCAACTTTCCTCGTGGTGGAAACAGAAGGTGCCCCAGACCATATATGGCAGCAATAATCAGACATTCTAATGGGGGGGGGAAGGAATGGTTGATTTAGATTTATATAGTTGAAGTATCGATATTTCAGGGAGAAAAATTCCATAATGGATATTTTTTGGCGCAGCACAGATTGTCAACTCGTTTTGCATTTAAAAGCATAATGAAAAATTCGTGGATGGAAGACGCTTTGTATAAATTTACTCAATGTAGTTTTGTAACATTTCCATCTGAAGATGGTCAGAAAGTACTTGAGAAATGAAAATAAAAGAAATTTAAACATCTATAGCACATTTCTCTCATCCTTTAATATCAATACAAGGAAGGTTATTTGTGAGTATGAACGGATTTTATTAAAAATTAGCAAACATAATGTATATAATTTATTCAATCAGACTGCCTAAAAGAGAATTTGCTGCCTAAATACATAAATATATATATATATAAATATACGCTCTATCTCTGATATTGAGCACTTTATCCCATAAATATAGCACCTTAAAACTATATTTTCATTCATATATATATATATATATATATATATATATATATATATATATATAATATAAGTTATGAAGAACTTGGTAAACCGAATTAGTAAATCCAAGGAGGATGAAATCCCGAGAGCTCAATGTGAAGAACAGAGCTAATATTTAATGAAAAAACAGACCACTTTAAGGTACCATTACAATAATTTATTTCACCAAAATCCTTTTTAAAGGATTCCGGATCATCAGGTAACGTCCAACGATGAAATGAGAGGAAAAATGTTTACCTGATGATCCGGAATTAAAAGGATTTAGGTGAAATAAATTATTGTAATGGCACCTTAAAGTGGTCTTTTTCATTATATATATATATATATATATATATATATATATATATATATATATATATTTATTATATGCATGTGTGTGTGTTTGCGTGTGCGTGTTTGCGTTCGTGCAGGCACGCACATAAAATAATATACATATTTTGATATGTATAAATGTTATGACTTGACTCTGCGAATGTAAGTTTTTCCAGGTCTGTTACAGACTCACTCACAGATAGGAAGAGTATCCACATGTAAAAGTATACAACATTCATGTCGGCTGCAGGAGGAGGTTTTGCAGTCGACAGAAACCTCGGTATTGTGCAAATGCTTCTTCAGCAAGTTTTTCTATTTTATCTTTCTAGCCTTTTTTTTATTATTTTATTGTGGCTTTCTTCTGTCAGAGAGGCTGTCTGATAGATTTTGCGCCTTCATGTCGCCCTACTTTCTTGCGTCCATTTGCACACGCGATTAAGTTTGTTCCTTTGCGGGAATCTACACATAAGTACGATATTTATATCGTTTTGCAAAGAAAGAAAGAAAGAACGGAAAATAAATACCGAAAGAAAACTGGAAAGAAAGAAAAACAGACGGTAAAAGAGGGAAAGAAAGAAACGGGAGAAAAAGACAAAGAAAGAAAGAAAGAAAGAAAGAAAGAAAGAAAAGAGGAAAAATGATAGAAAAAAAAGAAAAGGCAAGGAAAGAAAGAAAAAGAGAAAAGACAACGAAAGAAAAATATAAACAAGAAAGAAAGAAACCAAAGAAAGAAAACAAAGAAAAAGAAAGCAAAGTAAGAAAAAAGACAAAGGAAGAAAAAGAAAGGAACGAACAAGATCAAGAAAGAATGTAAGAAAGATAGAAAAAAAAAAGACAAAGAAAGCAAAGTAAGAAAAAGGACAAAAAGTGAAAAGGAAAGGAAAGGAAAACAAAAACAAAGAAAAAAAAAAGAAAAGAAAGAGAAAGAGAAAAAAGTAAGAAAAAGGACAAAAGTGAAAGGAAAGGAAAGGAAAAAAAGAAACAAAAGAAAGAAAGAAAAAAAAAAGAAAGAGAAGAGAAAGCAAAGTAAGAAAAAGGACAAAAAGTGAAAAGGAAAGGAAAGGAAAAAACAAGAAACAAAGAAAGAAAGAAAAAAGAAAAGAAAGAGAAGAGAAAGCAAAGTAAGAAAAAGGACAAAAAGTGAAAAGGAAAGGAAAGGAAAAAACAAGAAACAAAGAAAGAAAGAAAAAAGAAAAGAAAGAGAAGAGAAAGCAAAGTAAGAAAAGGACAAAAAAAGTGAAAAGGAAAGGAAAGGAAAAACAAGAAACAAAGAAAGAAAGAAAAAGAAAAGAAAGAGAAGAAGAAAAAAAGTAAGAAAAAGGACAAAAAAGAAAAGGAAAGGAAAGGAAAAAACAAGAAACAAAGAAAGAAAGAAAAAAAAAAGAAAGAAAGCAAAGAAAAAAAGGACAAAAGTGAAAAGGAAAGGAAAAGGAAAAACAAGAAACAAAGAAAAAAGTGAAAAAGAAAAGAAAGAGAAAAAGAAAAAGGACAAAACAAAGGGAAAGGAAAAAAAAAAGAAACAAAGAAAGAAAGAAAAAGAAAAGAAAGAGAAGAGAAAGCAAAGTAAGAAAAAGAAAAATGACAACGAAAGAAAAAGTAATGAAGATACAGAAAGAAAGCAGAAAGAAAGAAAGGAAAAAGGAAGGAAAGAAGGAAGGGAGAAAGAAAGGAAGGAAAGAAAGAATGGAAGCACGATAAATAAATATAAAAAAGAAAGACAATTTTCCTAGTTTCAAAGTAAGCTCTATCTGAAACCAGAGAGCTATCAAAATTATTTCTCATATCATTTATCCTCTCAATGTAAAGAATACGAAGCCATCATCCCGATAGAATAAGAGGCCTCAGAAACAGCAAACGCGTTAAATAACTCGTATCATTCTCTTCTCCGCCCTGTGCTGCCACAACAGTCAGGGAAACAATTTCTTCTGTTAGATCAATCGCTTTGAAATAAATGTTATTACGTATATATATATGGTGGCGCGTATCTGTGTGCGAGAAACGTGTCTGCGCGTGCGTGCCAGCATACGTGTCTCAGTGCGCATGTGTCAGCATGTTTGGCTCTGCGCGCGTGTGCAAGACGCCTGTGTTCGCCTGTGGCTCCCATGACTGTTCTATTTTATACACTCTCTACGTATCGATGCCCGAAATATTGAACACAGACCGTATATGAAAATATATATTGAAGTAGTAGGTTTCAGTGCTTAGCATAATGTTCGGGGTTTTGTTGCTTACATACATCAGTCGTTAGTGTTCGGCTATGATGGCACAATGTACTCAAACTTTTGTTCGTGAGTCGTCTGATTCTGTATTGATTTTCCAAGCATAGCTTAGATGTGGCACAAGGCCGAAAGTAGGGGGCACCCAGTGCGAATCGAACTCACTAGTCAGTCGTAATTGTTCTAGCGAGACAAGCTTGCTAAACATTACGCCACCACGAGGTGCCCAAGTCGTTTGATTCTATATAGTGAAACGTAAAAATGGGCAATTCTACAATTCAGATTATAAACGCTATTTCGCCTTCTAAAACATTTTCAAGATATTTAATTATGAATATTCAAATTTGGCCAACAAACCAATTTATTTATTTCCGACTATTATCAAACCTGCTAGCATCACCTATGATCAAATAATTAAAATATGTTTTTTATGTGTATTAAAAAGCTACCTTTAAAGCATTTAAAATCGAGCACTCTTATATACATAAGATGGCGTTCTGAACTCAAGGAGAGACAACGCGTTTTTTTTCGAAAATTCAAAAAAGATTAACTGAAAAAACCGTAAACATCCAGTCAGGTTATATTCAATACACAAAGTAATTTTTTGTTGAAGTTGTTTTGTTTTGTTTTTAGTTTCCAAATCACTTTCAAGTCTCGATAGAATTTACAAGTGTCTATGTGTGTGACAAATTATTTCCCAGCTTCTTTCTCATAGTTTAGATGTGGTAAACCTCTCACTACTTTATCGCTACTTCTGCAGAAAGTGCTCGGACGAACTACATTCCTTAGTTCCACCAGTTCAGGCCTTCACAACTAGGGCCCACCATGCCACTTACATAGTAGCAAACCACCTACATTCCCTTCGTCTTCTATCAGTGAGAAATAAGTTCCACTTAATCAGCTTCTTCCTGCAAGCCACTGCTCTGTGGAACCAACTCCCAAGTGGATGTTTCCCCAATCACTACAATCTTAACCTGTTCAAGTCTACCGTTAACAGTTAGCTTACTCTCCTATCCATATGAACCAGAAGTGGCTCCTGGGCCTTGTATAAGGTGAACCTCACTGTAAAAGAAAAATGGTATGGGCAGTGGAATGAGAACAGTCTACTTCTGTAGATTAAATAAAGGGTTCAATTCAGAATTCCTGGTAGATTACCCAGATCAATATGCACCTGAGGAAGGCTGGAGAACACAATGGCTAAAACATTATAATAACAACAACAAAGATGAGGACAATAATTCAAATATAAATAGTGTAAATAGTCATTATCATGTTTTTGTAAAGCGTATGGGTCACAAAAGTAAACAAAATGTCTCTTTTTTTTTTTCATTTATTTTCTTCCTTTTTTTGGTCATTTTCTTTGCTCTAAAATCAGGAGCATTTTATACATGGAAATAAGCTTTTTTTCCATGAAATTTCTCTGCTTTTTTATAACTGCATCTTAATCACCCTAGTGATCTATACACAAAAGATTATGGCGCTGCACCCATGGAGGAGGTACTGTATTCCCTGGTGCCACCAGTTCTAACCTTCAGGGCTAGGACCCACCATGGCACTTACATTGCAGCAAAACGCCCACATTCCCCCACCCCTGTCTTCTATCAATGAGAAGTAGGTTTCCCTTAAACAAATTCAACCAGCGAACCACTGCTCTGTGGAACCGAATCCCAAGAGGATATTTCCCCAATCACTACAATTTTAACCAATTCAAATGTGGGGTTAACAGTTACCTTCCCCTTCTATCCGCATAAACTGCCTCGTAATGCAACTCTCTGCCTTGAGTGGCCCCCGGGCCTTGTGCAAGGTGAATCTTACTGCAAAATCCGAAATTGCTGAAACCTGTTGATATACAGAGACTGATTTGATAAGGAAAGTCGTATTTTTTTATAATTTCATCCTAAGCAAGGCAATAAAGCCACTAAGACTCAAGGGGTTGCTGAGTATTAGCGAATGGGGAAAGGACACCTTTAAAGAGAGAGAGAGAGAGAGAGAGAGAGAGAGAGAGAGAGTGAGAGAGCATTAAAAGATCAATAATTAAATAGACAGTAGAGAATAATTGATATTGCATTTAAATTTTTGAAGATCAAAGTTGATTGGGAAGCATGAAGCCGGAAGAGTTCCACAAACAAGAAGTGCGATAGAAGAAACGCTTAGCATAGAACTTACGGTTACATCTATCCATTTTAAGTGTAAGATGATGAGATCTTTGCGCCAATTTAGTATTGCGCTTAAATTCATAAAATCTAGCCACGAAATCTGTTCGTCAGAACAATTACCATGAAAGCATTTCTAGGAAAGACACATCGTAGCTATGTTACGACGGTAGGAAAGTAACTGAAGCCAAGATGCCAGGTCAGAACCAATAACATTGCAGTGTCTTCTTTATACGTTATCAATAATCTCTAAATATATAGCAGAAGCACTAACCCAAATGGGACAGCAGTATTCAAAGAAAGGAAGAAGAATCAACTTACATATATGTAAGATGGATTCTGGAGAGAAATATTGTCTAGCACCAGACAGATAACTGACTTTCCTAGCATCAAACCTAGAAATTGGTTCGATAAAGTCTTTCATGTCATAAGTTGAGAAGGTTAGTCTTAGAACACGCAATGAATCACGCTCTTGGAGGTTAGCATCAGCCATGCTGGTGGAAGATAAAATGATTCTCTCAGACGATTAAAAGAGAACTGCTTTGTTTTGGGGGCGTTAAAAATTAACAAGCCTTTACTTGCCCCAGTTAACCACAGAAAAGATATTTTTTTTTTAAATCAGCTGCCTATTTGACCTTATCTAAGAGCTCAGACTTACAATTGCAAGCTATTTTTTTTTTTTTGTCATGCTATTCTAGAATCTTATTTATCGCTCTATTGCAGAGAACGGTATTTTTATTAGTTTCCAGTGGTGTTAGTGAGGAAAAAGAATGCCATAACTGAAAATCAGCCATGTTTGATAGTTGGCTGCAGATAAATAACACTAAGACAACATACAGGGAGAGTTGTATTCATGCCTTTCTCAAGAATTTTATAGAGAAATGATGATGGTAAATATTTTTGATCGAGTAACTTCTGTATATTTACTTTTAAACTAACGTTTTAATATATATATATATATATATATATATATATATATATATATATATATATATATATATATATTACTTTAAACGTTAGTGTATGGGACACTTCATTCATATGTATTTCAAACATATATATATATATGGGTTCTATTTGAAATACGAAGTTCTATATATATATATATATATATATATATATATATATATATTAATTTAAACGTTAGTATATGGGACACTTTGTATTTCAAATAGAAACCACACATATATATATATTTGAAATACGAAGTGTCCCATACACTAACGTTTAAAGTAATATATATATATATATATATATATATATATATATATATATATATATATATTACTTTAAACGTTAATTTATGAGACACTTCGTATTTCAAAAGAAACCACATTATTCATTGAACAGCGTATATCATGGCTGTCATATATATATATATATTGTAGAAAAATGCTAATAGATTTAAGTAGTTTCACTGAAAACACATTTATTGTACAAAATCGGCTCCGATTATTTGAAAACACACACACACAGATATATATATATATATATATATATATATATATAGATAGATAGATAGATAGATAGATAGAGAGAGAGAGAGAGAGAGAGAGAGAGAGAGGGGAGAAATAACGACATATATTTCTATATACCAAGAACAGTACTGGGGAAATTCTATGACAAAGTGGAAAAAGTTTACTTTTGACGTGTTTTGTCCTTCAGGACTTCGTCGGACTAATTTTGTCATGTTGGTAGGACTTACACATGCCTACGGCAGAGGAGTGCTGGAAATTTTAGAATTTTTTTCAGCTGTATTTATTTAGGGTCGTTTACTTCCCATCACTTTTGTAAGCAGATATTCCACCCTGTGATATTAGAAGATCTGTCAGGAATTTTTTGTGGGGTTGCATTCCTGCAGTTCTGGATTTTTTTTTTTTTATTAAAAATTTGATATACTGGAAAAACTAACCGCTAAAAGATCCAGAAATGCTGGAATTCAGCTCCACAAAAAATACGTTGCAACAAAGCCGGAAATGGCTCAACTACACCAAACTATCATACAAATGAGTGACAATCAAAACAACAAATTGAGACAAAAACTCAGCAACCAATACGCAAAAGCAAGTCGAAATATGTTGAAAAGCCTAATCTGATAGAAAATCTATCGGACATAAAGCTTTCCACTAAAGAACGAGAAATCCTCAGCTTCGGTTTAAAATTTGCCACTGGAAAGGAGACACTATAATAAAAAATCATAAGCAAAACGACTCCAATTTGACCAAAGGTTTCATTGAAGGCATTATCACTGCTACTATAGAAACCAACAATGAAAATACATTACCATTGAGACATCTGAATGCACTAAAGAACCTAGCGAGAAATAAAGAAATCCACATCACTCCTTCTGATAAGGGAGGGGGGGACTACGATCATGAACAAGAATACATACAAAGAAAAAAATTAACTCATTACACAAAGATAGCGACACATACGAAAAAAAATAAACGAAATACAAAAATTTAACAAGGAAATCAGGAAACTAATTAAAAATGAAAACATGATACAGACTCATAGAATATCACCCCAGATCACCTAAACTTTACAGTTGTCCCGCAAAACTGATACCCCAATGCGTCGCATTATCTCAGGAATAGCCAGCAAAAAACTGGCGAAATCCATAACAAAAATTCTAACCCCTTTCCTTGGAACAATCAGTTCATCTCAGGCAGCCGAGTTGAAAAACTAAGGGAAATGAACATGAACGGGAAACGCATGGCCAGCCTGGATAGAAAATCCCTCTACACCAACGTCCCGACGAAAAATGCCTAAATCTCCTAAAAAAAGCATCAAACACAATCAAAGATAAAGCTCTCTCTATCAACAGCTAAAATGATAAAAATCTGCCGGCTCATCACATCAATACTGTATCACATTCAATAATGATTGTCGCAAAGAAAAAATTAGATTACCAATGGGATCACCTCTCAGTGGAGTAATGGCATGTAATTTAGAATTTCTCGAATTTGGTCCTTTCCAAAACATTTTACCCAAACAATTAACATACTTTCGTTACATTGATGATGTTCTACTTATATACGGATTTCCGACCTAGCAGATCAAGTAAACAAAGTCGAAAACGCACAATAGAATTTACATAAGAAATGGAAAACACACAATTCCTTACCTTCCTCGATATCACGCTACGCTTTATTAGCAAAAGTCGATGTCCCCCAGAAATTGACCAACAAAAACGCCCTAATATATTTTTTATTCCCATCATAATAACAAAATAAAATCCAGTATAATCCTCTAATTCTACCTCAGAGCTCTAAGAATATGCAGCTCGGATTATTTACACAAAGGAAAGAAATACACTGAAAACATTTTCAAACTTCTGTAGTATCCTAATTATTTTATATTTAATTCGAAGCAAAGTCTCATATAATATTTCAAAACAAAAGAAAGGTCCCCTCCTGATAAAACCCAATGAGTCAAAAAATATATTGTCCTACCAACTAATTCTATCACATCTTCAATCGAAAAGAATCTATCTAAACTCAACATAAAATTTGTTACTATTACATCCAAAACAACAGATACTAAACAAAACAATAAGCTAAAACCCGAAGAGGGCGTTTACTCCATTGCCTGTAATAAATGTCACAAAAATACATAGGAGAAACCTCAAGGAATCTAAATAAAAGATTATATGAACACAAAAGGGTCATTTTAGAAAATAATACATCAAATGTATGTACGTCCAGTGAATTTTCGATATCTAAGGTTTAAAATGAATTTTTAAAACTGAAAAAGCATTCTTGAAGATTTCATTTTAGCTTTAATTGAAAGGTAAATCATTAAATTTACTATTTCAAGTAAGTAAAATATTCAAATAGAAATTATATAGCTCGGAATCTCAACTTTTTGGCCGATTTCAGAAAAATTTCTTAAAAGCGGCCATTTTCTTAATTTTAAGAAATTTGTAATCAAAACAAAATTATCGGTTTTAAAACTCTTCCAAAAATAAAATATATATTTGTGACACGTTGAGTAAAATTGGCAAATTTAAAGTTAAATTAATCTGATTTGAAATAAATATTACTTATACCATAAAAAGTAATAAACAAGCATATTTTAACGACGGGTCATCTTTTTTCTTTTATCTTTATTGACATATTGATAAGTTCCGAGGTGATGACAGCTAGTATGGATGACCAGAATTGACGCATAAATTTACGAATTCTAAGTGAACGCATTTTTTTTTGTTTTTAACTACGTAGTAATTTTTATAAATTAACGCATTTTCAGCAATTATTTAATATTTTATTGACTTTTACTTAAATTTCAAGATGCTTTATGAAATTTGGGTTATTCGTTTCTAGATTATTAAGTTTACTAACTTAAATAAAAATTACTTAACTGAAGTATGATCCACACTAAAATAGATACATAAAATGCAATTATTTAGTTAAATAGTAATCAAAAAAGTAAAACTTCCTTTAAAATTTTGAAGGGATGATTTGCAAAGACGTTAATGATGAAACGGAACTGAATAATGAAATTGAGAGACTTTCAGAGCACCAGATGACTCTTAAATCAAGTGACATTTTAAAGTATAATATCATTTATGGCTTACCATAGTTAGAAATTGGGAACGTCTATCCATTAATTTTTTTTAATTTTTTAAAATATTTAGGTATAAACGACTGTTATGAGCTTTTTAATTTTTGATTCGTAAATATACTTTTCGTTTAACAATATCACAAAACCGCCGCCTTGAAGCAATGCAGAATTTTAAACGATTTTTTAATATTATAAATTGTTTAATTAAAATTTAAAAAAAATGAAAACAGTTCTTGTAAAAATTAATTATTCATCGAAAAAAAATGTACTTCTTAAGACAATAGTGTCCTTGATAAATCTT